ACCTCTTTAAGAGCCAGACAAAGGAGCATCAGTATATCCCCACTTCTTTCCAAGAATCTACATTCATATGAAAATCTCTAGTTTTTCTTTGCCCAGACTTTAAATTCCTCCAACAGTTGACATGGAAGTCCACGGTTCTGTGTTCCAAAAAAATGCAGGGTAATACAGAGGTCCAGGAAATGAAGCCGTTCATCTACCCCATCTTCATAAACTTCAACGAAACTTGATTTCCCCAAATTCTTTATCTTGCAGCTTCCACGCGTGGTTGGCAGGTTATTCCTAACCACATCTGCAAACGAAACTCCCGGAACGACCAATGCATCTCTATAGCTGGTATTCCCATCGTTGTTGCAAGGCTTCTTTTTGGATTTAAAGGATAGTCCTTGGAGACCCAGGGCAAGTCCTTTCCAACACAAAATAGCATTATCATGTATTGGGATAATGATGTAGCTAGACCTCCCTTCTCGTTTGATTTTAAGATCTTGACGCATCTTCCATGTCGATTGGAGTTCTCCCACATCTTGATATTCCGATCGGCAAACCTTGTCCCACCAATCTTATCGAAAGACCAATTATTGTCCGTTGCAGCCCGAAGGGCATTATAGAGCCAAATCACATGCCTCCCGTTGAGGTATATGAATCGTTTTCTATTTGGGTATCCTTCGACGCTTATCCTGACCCACTCTTCCGTTACCCATTTATGACCAATCTTGATCGGTTGCAAAGTACTTCCTTGAATACCTGGAAAACAAATCAAACTCTCCTGATCTCTCCTCACCCTTTTAAAAAACGCTCGAACTTCCTCCCTGCCAAGAGGTTTTCTCTCTTGCTCTCTCTTTCTCTCTAACTTTCTCTCTCATCTCTCCAATCCAAGCATCTTTTACCGTTACTTGGATGGACCCTTCCGATTATCATTTGCCTCATCGTTTCGAATTCTTTATGACGTCTGGGCTTTCTCTTCCCGCAACTTCCTGCCATCGATTTTCTCCTGCTTTCACCAGGAACTCTAACAATTCCTCTCCTAGGACCACACACAGTTTACGGCCACCGATTTCACCAACGTTGATATCAATTTTGCGTTCATATGGCATTGTCGCAGTAAACTCCGCGTTGCAATTGCTCATAGACTGCGACCGCTGCTTTCCCATACACAAACACACCATTCATCAATTAATACGTCTTGATTTCACCGTAGGTAAAAAAAGTAAAAGATGCATGGATTGGAGAGATGAGAGAGAAAGAGAGAGCAAGAGAGATCTTTTACTCAATATAGTAAGGACTATACTGTTATAGACATAACAAGCACATGGGTCATTATCCTTAGTTTCATTCTTGGACGGACCCTTCCGATTATCATTTGCCTCATCGTTTCGACTTCTTTATGACGTCTGGGCTTTCTCTTCCCGCAACTTCCTGCCATCGATTTTCTCCTGCTTTCACCAGGAACTCTAACAATTCCTCTCATAGGACCACACACAGTTTACGCCACCGATTTCCCCAACGTTGATATCAATTTTGCGTTCATATGGCATTGTCGCAGTAAACTCTGCGTTGCAATTGCTCAGAGACCGCGACCGCTGCTTTCCCATACTGATAAGCCGTTAATTGCACATGTTTTTACCCCTATTCTGGAGCCGTTTGAGGTGTTGATTCTCGTGTTTTAGGCCGATTTCACGCTAGGTTGTGTTTGTTTGTGATATTTCAGGTCCTAGCAAGTGAATGAAGGTTTAGGAGCGAGTTCGGGGTCGTTTGGACGAAGATCGGGCGCGAGGCAAGTCACAAAGGAAGCCACATGGGCACACTCACAACTCACACGGCCGTGCACGTGACCAAGGAGGCCGTGTGGGATTGTGCGAGCCTTCACACGGGCACAAGTAAAATCCACACGGCCGTGTGAAGTTGCAGTTTGGCCGTGTGGAATTCTGCGAGGCTTCACACGGCCAGGCTGGGTGAGCTACACGGCCGTGTGCCCCTGGCCGTGTGGGATGCCTGAAACCCAATTTCTCGGAACGCGGCGTTTTGACCTCACACGGGCAACTGGGTATGCCACACGGCCGTGTGGCCTGCCCGTGTGAGTCGGGAATTTCTGGTTCTTACCCAATTTCGGGCTGCAAGTGAGAGAATCGGATTTTGAGAGCAAAAACAAAGCCCTAGAGAGAGAAAGTACGAAGAACACATCCTAGAAGCTATCTTGGGGCTGGGTTTCATCAAATCGAGCTTGGAGATCGTCATAGGAGTGGAAATCATCATCCCAGAGCATATTCTTCTCTTTGTTATGAGTATGACTGCTTTGTATTCTGTTTTCCTCTCTCTCTCTATGGAGTAGAACCCTTCTCTCACTTGGGTATGAAGAACCCTAGTTCCATGTGTTAGGGATTTGATTGTAATGACTTGGGATGATATTACTGCTTGGTTATAATCGAATGATGCATGTTTATTGAATTGATTGAAGTCTGATCAACTTTTCTTGATTTCTGCTGCAACCTGAGATAAATAGAATATGGTTAGGTTGTTAGAGCCTCATCATTCGGTGGTAGGAGATTGGCTATACGAGAGTTAGCCAGTTTACTGCTTTGTACTGGAATCCAATTCCAGTAGTGGAGTTCTGTGCTGATTGCTTCAGCTTTCTATCCCGGTGAAGATTAGTCGTCTGCCGGGCATTTAGACTGAGAGGGCTTGGTCAGCTTAAGAGATTCCAAGCTACTGTCGGATCTTCCGCAGTCTAATCAACAGTAAATCAACCCAGGGAAATTACAATTGAAACCTAACTAAGGAGCTAGGGGGACTCATTCCCGAGTGACTCTTCTTTACTTGAGAAAAACGTACCAATTCCTGCTTTCTTTCTGCTTTTGCTTAAAACAACAAACACTTAACTTAGTTGGCTAGATAATAGATAATCACGGAGTAAGCAGTAGATCTAGACCCATGGTTGATAATAGAACTTGCCATTTTACTGCATTCCCGGACTGCGATTACACTTGGTCGCAGTTTGGTGTTGTGTTTTGGCGTGTCACATACACAAACACACCATTCAGCAATTAATACGTCTTGATTTCACCGTAGGTAAAGTTGTAGTTCACTCCAAGCATCGTTGTGTATACTTTCAATCTGTCGATGCGAGATACTTTTGTTTATTGTATACTTTCAATTCCCTTCAATTCCTGATGATTTCCTCTTTCGCAAAATTGACCAATAAATTACTGTCAAAATCTTAAGTCATATTATTCATTCTTCAATTGATATCTGCATTCTTTCTTCATTTCTTGATAGCCAGGGACGGGTAATTTTATTTAAATTTCACCCTCTGCAAAAACTAGAAGAATTTAGTAGCAGATTAGCAGCATTGTGGACAAAATTATCATCAGGTTCAGACTTTTATTAATGATTTCTCACATCTTGTGGTACCTACCTTGCTAATGCACATGACTACATCAATGCGTCCATGAAAATTCCAGCTCGACTTTCATGATTTGTCTTGTACTGCGATTATTTGATATTAAACTAAGTAACTAACTATAGTACATATGACTAGTTATCCTTTAAGATAAAAGATTTAAATAATTGAAATCTTCTAGAAAAAATGGTATTCAGAAATTGTGTTCTTTTAAACTCACTCATTTGTCCAATCATGACATATTATTAAACTCAAATTAAAATAATCAAAATATGAAAATTCAAAATTCAAATAACAAAGAAAGTACTTACGGGAAAGTTAGTGGGCTAGCTAACAGTAGTGGAAAAGTCGTATGATTTTTAGAGTTCAGGTTTTCAGATTTTTTACTTAAAAAGAGACATAAGATTTCGTTAGCGTAATTGGTAATAGTTGTTGTCTTAGGTTTGAAAGACCATGGTTTGAATCCCGAGATTGATGTATTTTTTCTTATGAATAAAATATAAATAATGATTGTGAAGACACAATTACCCTTCCTACTTTCGCTCTCGTTGAAGGAAATTTGAAATGCTGAAAAACTGCCCCAACTCGGCTATAATATATTTGTAGATGCTTCCCTCCTGCTACTGCGAAGTTAGTGGCCCAAATCCATTTGAAGGGTGAAGGTGAACATGATCGGGTGATCTGGGAAGATAGCCACTTTTTGATTTGTTATTATCATACTACTAGATAATTGGCACGCGCTTTGCGGCGGGAACGCTAAACAATCTATCATGTCGAAGTTGTACGAGGTCATCTCCGACTCTTTTCTTGTTGAGTTGTCGGGTCTTTACTATGCGATTTTGTGATGTCTATGTTATAAACGCGCTGCTACGGATCGGAAAATCGCCGAAATCGATAAAGCAAGAATACGAAAGCGAGAATCGAAAAAACACAGACACACGATTTACGTGGTTCACTAACACGATGTGTATTAGCTACGTCCACGGGCGAGAGAGAGCCAGTTTCACTATATCGAGGAGATTACAGATTACAGAGGGGTATGAGAAGTATTTATAGTACTTCTCCACGTGGGTCTAAACCTAATCCAATATGGCAAAGGAAACGGTTACAGACCAGGCCCAGAACCCGAACCCAAATAACATTGAGCCTATACATAGTGGGCCGGGGTGTTGCAACCGCAAATGAGCTTCGGTTCCCTTTTTTTGTTTTTTTTTTCAAAATTTTGAGTGAACTTTACCGATTCAGAGTCGCTAGTCATGATCCAGACATCATATCGACGATTCCAACTCCAGAATGACGATGATGGATTCTCTCTTTTGAATAATGTTTTATTTTCTTTACTAAGTGGTGTTTGTTTGCTAAAGGAAGAGTAAAGAAGCTAAAAGGTTAAATTTGTAATTTTAATGTTTTTTAGGGCGACATTTAATAATTTTAAGGGCGAACTTTAGCAATTAAAAAAACAAAAGCCCTTACCACAGATTTTGGGCACTGGACTCTCTCTCTCTCCATCCGGCTTCTCGTTGGTGCACAAAGCTGTCAGTCCTCTTTTTGCGAAGCAGCATAATATCAAGCCTCCATATCCATGACAAAACCACCTTCAGGAAATAGACAATAATATTGTTTCTTTGAACCCTTACGGCTCTCCATTTTAAGTAATGTTCTTCCTTCCGTCAGCTCCAGGTTCGAGTCACTTTCAATCTCTCTGTCATGTACAGCACTTCTCCTTTATACCCGTGCATAAATTTACCTTTATAATAATAAAAGGACGGAATGCTAGGCAATCAAAAAGAGCCCAAACAAGGCATTCCTCTCCCAGATGATCTTTTCCTGTCATTTTCCCCTGATTTCCTAACTAACCCTCCATCCTTCTTCAGGACAGCCAATCTTGACCTGGAAACACCACAAACTCCTTCCCCTTCAATATGGGTTCTCCCCTATAAGTGATTTCTGGACATTCCCCACGATCAATTTACAGAAGCAGCAGCATAAGGAAGAGAGATAGAAAAACCTTGCCCCCCCAAAAAAATGGCAGCTGCTGGTTATCATGTGAGATCAACCAGTTTACCTGCAAAGCCTCACCCTTTATCAGCAGCTCTTCAGGACCAGCTCAACTTCCTGAAGGCGTCAGAATCATCTCCTTTAGCCACCAGACTGGGAAGCCTGAAGACGATCTACGAGCTTCTCGACGACCTACTCCGATCCCAATCGACTCGACAGGCTCTCTTCTCCGAAAGGCAGAGCCAGGCAGTGGAACAAGCCCTGAATGGATCGCTCAGAATGCTGGAACTATGCAGCAACGTCAGAGACTTCCTGTCAAAGATGAAGGAGATCGTCCAGGAGCTCGCGTCTGCTCTCCGAAGGAGAAGGAAGCGCTGCTCCACGGTGGTTCTCCCCGCGGGAGAATCAGCTGTTCGAGATGCAGCGGAGGCTTATCTGACTTCCAGAAAGAGGCTCACAAAACTCGTCAGGAAGTTCATCAGGTTCAGTTTCCAGGAAAAGAATGGAGGAATTGCTCCTGATGCTGCAGGATCTGATTCGTCGTCTGTTGTTACTATGCTGAGAGGCGTCGAGGAGATTAATCTTGAAGTTTTTCAGGCCATCCTATGTTACATATCTCAGCAGGGGCGGTTGCAGCCGGTGTCAGGATGGTCTATGTGGATAGTTGTACTGTTGCAGTCCAAACCTTGTGGTCACTCTGAGTGTCAGGATGATGGCAATGAGATGAAGAAGGTTGATTCTGAGGTGCTGGCTTTCAGGAGTAGCAAAGATTTGAGCTTTTCGCAAGCTCAGGTGGTTTTGAAAGGGTTGGAGAGAGTGGAATCCAGTATGAAGGAGATTGAGGAAGAAATGGAATGCATTTACAGGCGGCAGGTGAAAGCCAGAGTTTCCCTTCTCAATTGCCTGTCTCGTTGCTGATGGGTTATTCTTCAGGTTGATAATTAATTATGAGTTTTTGGAAAGATGCAATGCTAAATGAAATCAAAATATTGAACGTGTTCCTCTATTCTATTCTATTCTATTCATTCTTTATAACATTATATTCTTGGTTATATATATGTATGTGTTGTCATTTTGGCTAAAAAATTTGATAATCCATTCTGGCATCAGCTCAACAGTGGTAACATAAGCACAGTCATTATTTCTTCATTCTGCTATTCTTCTCTTCATTCCTATCTGAGTATCTGTTGCTCGTCTCAGAAACAAATTGAAATGGGCAAAGGAAATTTCAGTATTCTTAAGATGGTCCTATCCATTTCCTATTTGGTACACCAAGAACTTATTGAAGTAAGAGTCGATGTCAAATTTGATATCGTGTAAACTTTTGTTTTATTTATTAACAATATCATGTAAACTAATAAGAAATGTAAGTACACTATATTTATGTGTTTCGAGAGAATTTAAATTCACGAAATTTGTATGATATTAGGAATGGTGTTGGGACAAGTCTGGGTGGGTATGTCGATATCCATATTCGCTTATAGCAGGTCAGATTCGGATAATTTATCAAGGAGCGCGTATATGGGTAGATCGATCTACATGAGTATGTAATATAAAGAGAAAATATTAGAAATATTTATTTATACATAAAAAATCAAGAAAAAATTATAAAATGATAAATATTGTTAAATTATTCGAGAATTGATGTTCCCGCCTATCTATAATATTATTCTAGCTAAAATATGAGGTAACAAAAATATAATCATAAGTAACTTGAGTAAAATTATATTTGATTTAGACAAGAATGAGTGAATAATAGGACTGATTAGGACATGTTAGATCGAAGAGAGTACCCATACCAGTTCCGCTTACAAAACAAACGTTACCCTCCCAAAAAAGATAAAATAAATCAGATAAATCCGATCGTGCCAAAATTGTCATCCTATATGATATTCACTGTTAACCAAGCTATCAGTACTGCATACAACACATGTATTTATGAATAATATCAATACAAAATTGAAACAAAAACTATATCCAGAAGAACACGCACACATAACTCCAAAAGGAAAAAGAGAAACACCAAACTCCCCATTGAAACACTAAAATACGAGAGATTATTGCCTACGCCGGGAGTACCACGTGTGAATGCTGATGTGGTGCTCCCGGCAAATAAAAAGTCGCCATCTGTTTTTAACCTTCAGTAATCCTTGACCTTTTATGTATTTAATTACTAATAGGCCAGCAATTAAAGCCCTCTCTCCTCCCGCATTATTAAATTCGTTCTTTCTTTTTCTGTTACAAAAAAAATCCTCTTTCTCCTTCCCATGGCAGAGCAACCGGAGACTGAACCCTTGTTCCTTCGTCTTCTCAGCCGCCGAAAGCCATCGTAGGAAAACTTTGGTCCAGTCCAGAGCATCATGAGATCGCTCGAATCGTTATCTCCGCCACAATATCGAACTCAAATCCACCATCACCAAAATCCGCCATTGATGAAGCTTCTGGCGGCCATTTTATCCTTACCCAATACAGAAATTGACGGAACAGGGTCTCTTAGATTCGGCTGAAGTGCAAGCTTCTTTTGAACTCCTTCACAACATCAAATTGAAGGAACAATAAATATATAAATATATATATATATATATATATATATATATATATATATATATATATATATATGCTTGCATGTCGATTTAGCTTTCCATTTGATCCCAGATTTTAGCTTTATGAATTTGGGGACCATTTGCATGTCGATGGCTTCTTGGCAACTGAGAGAATGAAGGAACAGGGGATTTAATCTTGGGTTGCTCTGCTACGGGAGAGAAAGAGGCCATTTTTTGGGTAAAAGCAAAGAAAGAAGGGGTTTAATGATGAGGGAAGAGAAAAGATAAACCCTTTTTTTTTTTTAACCCAAGATAAGCCCCCAGGGCATGGCCAGTCAACACAATTACAAGAAAGACACTAAAAGAGAACGGTAATCCGTATGCAACCGGATTCCCGATAAAAGAGCCTGTTTTGCCACGAGGTGGGCAGCTCTGTTGAAGCTCCGAGGAGCAAAAAGACACGAGACAGATAGGAAGGAGGCAAGGAGAGAGTGAACTTCCTCTAAAATTGCTCCCGCTCTTGAATGTGAAGCCTTCTTTGATGTCACATCCTTGATGACCAATTGAGAGTCCCCACAAAAAATAACAGTCAAGAAACTGTGGGTAAGACACCATTTCATAGCATCACGAATAGCAATTAATTCTGATATATAGGCATCTGAGATGCCCTGATAGAATTTACCAACTGCAAATATGATATTTCCATCACCTGAAAAGCCCACGAAGCCGGTTGCACATCCTTGAGGGGTTTTTGTTGCCCCGTCAAAACGAACCAGGATACCTTCACTAGGGAAAGAAACATCTGTTCTTCTCGAATGAGGACCTTTGCCTGTGGAAGATTGGGGTATGGACCTACGGAGTTCCTCAGATCTCTGAACATTCTGTGCCTCTGCCATTCTCCATTCCTCCACCTGCGCTAAAAGTTGCCTGTATAGAACATGTGACCTGTATAAAATGTGTCCATAGGTAGCCTTGCATCTGCCTTTCCATATTCTCCAAAATAAGAAGACAATGAAAGCTATGTCATTCTTGGTAATATGGGGTGTGAAAAAGAGGTTTCTCCACGCAAGATCCATAGGAATTGCCCTCATCATATCTCTTATATGATCAAGGTCGGATAGTGTCCACAGTTCTCTTGTAATTCTACAGTCGAAGAAGCAGTGCTTGAAGTCTTCATATACTTCGCAGCAAACAGGACATGAACTTGAGGAAATAATTTTCTTATGTAGGAGAGTTCCTTTAACTGGTAGAAATCCACGCACCAATCTCCAAAGAAAGAATTTGAGTTTAGGAGGAATTGGAATATTCCACAGGAATTTCCAGAACTAATTAGGTTGATAGAGGCACTAGTGCACCACTTATTGGAAGTAGGGAATCAATTGTGTGAGAGTGAGTCAATCAATTGTTTTGTATTGGGTGATAATCTTACCAACATAGGGAGTCTAGTGTGAATTGCCTTTATGTTCTGTCTTAGTCGAGAATAGTGCCCCTCTAAATAGTCTATTCAAAATGACCTTATCTGCTTTAATCGAGATTTAAGACTCGTTAAGTACTTTTCGCATTATGAATGAAGAGTGAAATAATTTAGAGATCATCAATCATTAATCCTCCTAGTGGCTAGTTATTTCTTTTTTTATTGGAGTAGTTTAATCATATGTAAACCTATACGAGCTAGACAATAAACTATCGTTGGGTAATAGTACATCTAGAGATCCGTGCATTCAATATTTATTACTTGTTGTCACTATACCGCAAACCCTATAATTAGTTCACTTGACATTAACTAGAGTATTAGTTTTAGCGGACAAAGTGTGGCGCCGTTGTGGAGAACTAGATTCTTTACTTTTTTTCCCAAGTAATGACAATAAAAAGAATCTATACAATCTACCCAGGATCCCTCCCATAGCACCACCTCAGTGAAACCACCCTACAAATTCGTAGGAACTTAACTCAAGAGGAGAAAGTAACAGGGCTTTTTGTGCCACTCAATGGGCAGCCCCGTTTGCAGTTGTATGAACTGCCCTAAACTCTAAGGATACAGGAACTAAAAGACAAAAGAAGGAGACCGATAACGATGTAATTGCACATGTTTGCGCCCCTAGTTCTTATCCGTTTGAGGGGCATAGTCGTGTGTTGTGGCCTATTTTACGCCGGGTTGTGCTATTTTGTCATGTTTCAGGTCCCAGGTGTCAAAGGGAAGGCTAAGCGCGAGTTTCGGGGCATTCGGAAGTCATTTCGGTGAGCTGGAGCCAAAACACGGGCAGCCTAAGGCATTACACGGCCGTGTACTGCTGGCCGTGCTTTTTATGCCGAGAGCAAATTCAGTTTGGCCAATTCCGCTGCAAACACGGGCACCGAAGCACGGCCGTGTTCAGTCAAAGCACGGCCGTGTACATTGCGAAGCACGACCGTGTTTAACCCACTTGCTGGCCGTGTAATTAAGCCCTGGCCGAGACACGGGCGGAGTCAGGCAAAGCACGGCCGTGCCCTCGACCGTGCTTTGGCCACTGATGCTTTTAAGCAGATTTTCAGCCACAATTCGAGGGGATTCGAGTTTTTGAGAGAGAGATCAGTTCCTAGAGAGAGAAAGTGACGAGCAAGAGTTCCCAAGTGCCCTAGATTGATCTTCAACACCATTGGAGGCCAGCTTGAGCTTGGAGAAGTGCCAATCAACGTCCAGAAGCAGGAATCCATCCTTCGCAGTATGAATTCCGTGTCTGATTCTGCTTTTGCTTTCTTCTCCATGGAGTAGTTCTCCCATTCATCTGGGTATGGAGAACCCTAGATTTGTATGTTAGGCTTTGATTGTATGAACCCAAGTACTGATTCTATGATTGATTATATTCGATTGAGGTTTTAATGATTGAATGACTTGAATCCTGATCAAATTCCTGTTGTTTCTGCTTTGACCTAGAATGAGAATATCTGCCTAGGTTAATAGAGTATCCTTGATTGAAGGTAGGGAGTTGGTGACTTTAGTCGAGGAGCCAACTCACTATTCTGTACCGGATTTACTCCGGTAGTGGAGGTTTTGTTCTTAGGGCCTCAATCTGTCGACTCCGGTGGAGGTTAGTCGCCCGCTAGAGAGTCAGATTGAGAGGGTCTGAACACCTTTAGTCGAGACTTCAGGCTGTTTAAGAACCTTCCGCAGTATAACTGTCATAGAAACTGAACTTGGTAATTACAATCCGGCTTAACTGCAGTCTAGGGGGAACCATATCCGGGTGACCTCTTTAACCTGAATACAACCAGTTTACTTGCTTTGTTTGTTTGGTAGTTTAGACTTGCACTCTAGTTTTATTGCTAGATAACAAGAACTCACTGAGTAGTCAGCAAATCTAGGACCCGGGTTGATAATTAAACCTATTCCTGTTGTTTCTGCTTTAACCTAGAATGAGAATATCTGCCTAGGTTAATAGAGTATCCTTGATTGAAGGTAGGGAGTTGGTGA